CTCCCTCAATATAAGATTCCTTAATATACTTTTTGAATACAGATTCTTCAAAATTTCTAAGTTCAGTGTTTAATACACACACAATTAAAAAGCATTGAAAAGTTGTATTGAGCTCAGGTCTAGTTTTGCAACTTACTGAATAAATCTTATTTTCTTTGGATTACATTTTACATGCTTATAAAATGAGGACACTGTTAAGTGGTTTGTATAATCCCTTATTTCTGGTTATAAAATTTTTGTGATTCCAGAAGTAACAGAAGATGTTCATCACATATCACTTGTTTAACATCTAATCTGATTTTAGGATTACAATATTTTTCACCTTTCTGCCCTACCATTCCAAGTGAAGACAGACAGACACATACACAATATTCTCAACTGTTTGGAGCAGGGTTTCTTAACCAGTACTGATATTTGGGGGTGGATAATTTTGGGGGGAAAGTGAGGGTGTCCTGTGCACTGTTGGATATTTGGCAGCATCTCTAGCCTCTACCCACTTGTATGCCAGCACCACTCAACCCGATATCACCCCAGGTTGTAACAAACAGGTCTTCAAACATTGCTAACAGTTCCCTGGGGGGACAAAATCACTCCCTTCCAGCCAGTGATGGTTTTTGAGGAGGATCTACACTTGATCTGGATTCCGTTCTTCTAAGGAACTAACCAGGTGATAGTTGGGGGTTCATATTCGGTCCTCCTGGGTGGCGAGGTAGAGATCAGAGAAATTCACTCTGCTGCGTGGAATAAACAACCACTGTGGGGACTAGGATTCTATTGAGCTTTTCCACTAACTTTCTCGGTGACCTTGAACAAGTCACTGATAGAGCCAGTTTCCTCTTTGAGACCTTAGACAACCTTCCAACTATGAGCCTCTTCTAGAGGGGCGGCTTCCGAGGTTCTGCCCCGCACAAAATGCGGTTTGCCCTTCCGTGTGCAGTGTTCTCATCATCTGTGATTGTACCCCTGACCTTCCTGAACTCCACCAGTTTTTGTCTTGACCCTCCCGATCGCGCCGCCCCCTACCTGGCAATAGAGCCGATAAAGGGGCACGGCGGCGTAAGAGGCCCCCAGCATGCCCACGGCGGCCGCGGTCACGTAGGTGAGCACCGTCTTGTTCCGCCGCCTCCAGTCCTCCTCCTGCGCCCGCGTGAAAGGGTTTGTGCTCTTCGGTCGCCGCCGCCACTGCGCGGCTGGGTCCCGGGCGGGTCTCCGGCGTTCCCATGTCCACAGCCGTCTCAGCCCTCTCTCAGCCCCTCCTGTTCCGCTCCACTCCAGGCTAAGGAATGGCTCTACTCTCTCCGCAGCCCCAGTTGGGGATCCAGGGTGGCTCCATCGCCAGCCACAAAAAGCAACCAGCCTCCATCCCGGACGCCAGATCGCTCCCATAACCCCCTAAAAGAACGCCCGCCTGTCAGGGACGAGAGGTCCGATCTCGCGAGGTCTGTTACTTCTCGCGGTATCTGGGTTGAGCCGGCCCCTGCCTTGGCTACCAGACTCCTCAGGTGGCAACGCTTGCAGTCTAGCTACGGAGACCGGTTTGCGGGACTAACGGTAAGTTCGCGTTTTTCCTTCGTGGCTGTCCCTCCCACTTTGCTCCCTTCCAGGGCACTCTTTTAACTTAATCTCGAGGAAAATGCGGTTTGCCCTTCCGTGTGCAGTGTTATCATCATCTGTGATTGTACCCCTGACCTTCCTGAAGTCCACCAGTCTTTGTCTTGACCTGGCGGCCGGCGCTCCCGCGGTACCTCTGCTTAGGGCGCCCCAGCTCTGGTCCCCGTGCTTACTGCCCTTGACTTGGGCTCGGGGATCGCTTGTCGCAGGAAGCCTTCTGTGCTAAACCACAGTCCTCTCGGATACTCAACATGTGCAACTTCTCACCTGGGCATCGGCTTCTACCGCTGTGATGTCCCTTTGCCACTCGCCCAGTGACAGTCACCACGTCTGGAGCGAAAGAAACTTCTGAGTATGCTCAGAAGGGAGTGACCAGAGTATGAGGGTCACTGAAAAGGAGGGATTGGGGAGAAATGGAGATGTTCATTTTGGGAGGAAAAAAACAAAACCAAAGAGAGAGGGATGTGACGCTTTCTTCAGCTGTCCCAAAATACTTAACTAGGACCAAAGGGGAAGCAGATTGCAGAGCCGAGTTTACTGAAATAGAAGGAAGCATCTTTCTGCAGACTATAAAATCGTGATTCAGAACTCAGATTCTCAGGTTAGGCGTTTCCACATTCTTAACGGGGCCCTCAAGGTGGCCAGTAACTTGACTGAAAACTTAGTGTCCATATTCCTAAAATGGAAATCAACATAATTAATGTGAATATGTATGTGAGGTGATTTTTCACAGTACCTGAGGCATAGTAAGAATTTTAGTAAGAGGCTTTATTTCTAAGGGCTAGCACAAATCAGTTATCCCCACTTTATAGATGAAAAAACTGAAGGCCTGAGAAACTTTGTCACTCAACATTTATTTGTTGCACTCTTACTGTGGTCCACACACTTTTCAGTCTGCTAGGAAGAACACAGGAGATAATCAAGTTACAGATACACACAAAGGGGATTTCAGATAATAATCAGTCAAGGATGACATTGGAATGACATAAAGTAATTTGAGAGTGATGACCCCAGGAGGGGCAGCAAAATGAGGTCTTATTTAAAAAAGGCCCAAATAAGATCTTTCTAAAGAAGTGTTATTTGAGCCTAGTCCGAAACCATGATAAAGAGCTACTTGTGCAATGACAAGCTGGATGGAGAGAGGAAGAAAATGGGGTCAGAGTTGTTATACAGAGGCCCCATAATACAAAGCCTCCTAAGCCATGTCCAAGGGAAGCTATTAGGAGTGTTTGGAGCATACAACATGACCCAATTTGAGGTACAGTGAAAAAGAGAGATTGGTTACTTTGGGGTGGGGTAAGGGGTGTGAATGAAAGTGGAATAGTTAGAGGCGATTATGGTAGTCCAGGTGAGTGATGACAGTCTCCTTGAGTGATGACTGTCACCTTGAGTGAATAATTAACTTGTGGTCATAAGACCACAATTGCAGAGCCAATAAGATTCAGTTATTTCCTGACTCCTTTCTACTTTGTAGAAATCTTTTCAAGATTCTATGATTCTTCAAATTTATTCATATTGTGTTTTGACAATGTTTGAAAATCTTTTTCATGTATATGTATCTTGGTTCTTATAGCATATTGTGAGCTCTTTTGGATAAGACCTCATATTTTAACTTTTTTTGCAGCATAGATTCAAATCCTATGCAAACGTTCATGTCCTTGAGGCCAGTAATACATTTCTTCTTAACTATACCCTCTGCCCGGACACCCCTTCCACATAGCTCCAGTTAGCAGTATAAATATGTCAATAATACCGTCTTTGTATTGGAATATTTATTTTATTTTACTTCACTTTATTTTTTGTAAATGTGAAATGAAAGTATTTATTTCTAAGGTATAATAATGTTGGTAGCAAAGTGGCGCTGGTCTTTGTATATTTCTCATTTAATAAAAGAAAATATGTAGCATATCTAATCTTATGATAATATAAAAGGGCAATTCATGTTTATGGAATACTTCTGGATGACAAAATATTTTTGATATTTCAAATTTTCTATGTAAAACATCATTTAGTTCAACCTTCTTTTTTTTAAATTAGAGCATTATAGATATACATAGTAGTTGGGTTCATTTTGACAAAATCATACATGCTGGAATTTAATTTACTCCATTTCATTCCCTGTTCTCCTTCCCTTTTGCTCCTCTCCTCCATTCCCATTTTCCTTCCTCTACTGATTTTCCTTTTGCTATTTTGTTTACTTTTGATTTGTGATTTCTACATACTCATAAATGTGGAATTCCTTGTGGTATATTTATATGAACATAGGGTAATTTTGTTAAATTAATTTCACATTTTATCCCCTTTCCCATCCCTCCCCCTTCCCCCTCTTGATCTCCTTCCACTCCACTGATTTTCTCTATATCATTGAAATATCAGATCCCTCGCCTTTTTTCCCCTTATTTTGTTATAACTTCTGCATATGAGAGAAAACATTTGACCCTTGATTTTTTTTGAGTCTGGTTTATTTCACTTAGTATGATATTCTATATTTCTAACTATTTACTAGCAGATGCCATAATTTCATTCTTAATGGCTGAGTAAAACTCCATTATGTATATATATACCACATTTTCTTAGTCCATTCATCTATTGATAAGCATAGGGCTATGGACATCCAATTTTACTTTGAAATAATTAAAAAATATACATAAAAGTTGCAGCAATAGTGCACAAATTTCTAGCATATCCTTCATCTAGATCTCTTAAAAATTTTGCACCATTGAAAGATGAAATGATATTCCAAAACTTTAAACTTAATACTTCCAGGTGTATCTTCTAATTATAAGGACACTTTCTTCTTCATAATCACAGTACAGACATAAAAATGAGGATGTTAATATTAATCTAGTATTACCATCTATGGTCACCTTGAGCTGCCATATTGAAATACCATAGTCAATATCATGAAAATGATACTGGGATTTCATTCTGAGCAAAAATTTGGTAAAGAATGAACTCTTGTCTCCATGGCAGATGAATACAATGACCTAATATATTAGTTTTCTAGGCCTACAACAGCAATTTACTGCAGATGGGGTTGTTTAAACTACATCGATTTATTTCTCACATTTCTGGAGGCCTAAAGTCCAATATCAAGGTGCTGAAAGATTCAGTTCCTGGTGAGGGGTCTCCTCGCTTGTAGCAATCTGTCATCTTGCTGTGTCCTCTCATCATTGAGAGGAATGAGCAAGCTCTCTAACGTTTTTTTTTTTTAAATAGGACACTAATCACTTCCCATCAAGGTTCTACATTTACTTAATTACTTCTTTAATTCATATGCAGCTTCACTTGGGGTTGGGGCTTCAACTTAAGAATTTTGGGGGACAGATACATTGAGTCCTTAACACCATGTTGTCCTTAGACTCTATTGGAATTTTTGCTTGTTTTTATTTATTTATTTTTTTTAGCTATTCATGACAGTAGAATCTATTTTGATATATTTATACAAGCATCAAATATATTTTATTCTAATTAGGATCTCAGTCTTGTGGATGTGTATATTGTTGATATTCATTGTGGTGTGTTCATATATGTACATAGGAAAGTTATGTCAGATTCATTCCACTATATTTCCTATTCCTATCCTTGCTCCCTTCCCTTCATTACCCTGTCTAATCCCCTAAACCATATTCTTTCCCTTACTTCTCCTTGTTGTGAGTTAGTGTTCACATATCAGAAAGAACATTTGACCTTTGTTTTTGGGGATTGGCTTATTTCACTTAGCATGATAGTATCCAGATCCACCCATTTACTGGCAAATGTCATAAAATTACTCTTCTTTATGGCTGAGGAGTAATACTACATTGTGTATATAGATATCCCAGTTTCTTTATCCTTTCATCTGTTCAAGGTTATCTAGGTTTGTTCCATAGCTTAGCTGTTGTGAATAAGCATTGATGTGGATGTGTCACTGTAGTATGTTGATTTTAATTTTGGATGTATACCAAGGAGTGGGATAACTGGGTCAAATAGTAGTTCTATTCTTAGTTTTTTGAGGAATCTACATACTGCTTTCCAGAATGGTTGCGTCAATTTACAGTCCCACCAACAGTATATGAGTGTACCCTTTCCCCACATCTCGCCAATATTTACTACTTGTATTCTTGATAATTGCCATCCTGGTTAGAGTGAGATAAAAACTCAATGTAATTTTAATTTGCATTTCTCCAATTGCTAGAAATGTTGAACATTTTTTTCATATATTGGTTGAACAGTCATTTCTTCTTTTGAGAAGTGTCTTTTCAGTTCGTGTGCCCATCTGTTGATTGGGTTACTTGGGTTTTTTGTTTGTTTGTTTGTTTTGGTGTTAAACTTTTTGAATTCTTTGTATATCCTGGAAATTGATGCTTCTGAGTTGCAGGTTGCAAAGATTTTCTCCTGTTCTATAGGCTCTCTCTGCACACTCTTGATTGTTTCCATTTCTGTGAAGAAGCTTTTTAGTTTGATACCATCCCATTTATTCACTATTGATTTTACTTCTGTCCTTAGGAGTCTTGTTAAGGAAATCATCTTCTGAGCTGATATATTGGAGTGTTGTGCCTACATTTTCTTCTAGTAGGTGCAGGGTTTCTGATCTAATACCTAGGTCTTCAGTTCACTTTGAGTTGAGTTTTATGCAGGGTTAGAGATAGGGATTAAAATTCATTCTACTACATGTGGATTTCTAGTTTTCCCAGCACCATTTGTTGAAAAGGCTGTCTCTTCTCCAGTGTATGTTTCTGGCACCTTTGCATGGACTTTGTGTGAATCCTCTGCTCATCCCAACATTTCCACGTTAGTTCTAGGATCCAATCAAGGATTCT